GGGCCGGGGTTCAGGAATGGGATTCCCCAATTTTCTGCTCCTGCTAAAACCACGCTGCCCTCACTGCCCTCCTGCCTCCCATGGAAAGCACAAAAGGCAAAGATCCTGGGCTGGGATAAGGACAATTTATTGGGAACAGCAACAAGATAAGGAAGAAATAGAACAGAAACAATACTGATAACACAAAGAATAAATGAAACTGTTTACAGGGAGAACTACAATACAACTTCCTGGCTCTTCCCAACAACATATATCCCTTTCCTGGAAATTTCAGCTTTCTCCTCTTCTCCTCCCTCAGTCCCTTTCCTCCCCTCTGGCAATGACCTGAGGTGAGAGTGAATGTAATGACAGGGCCATGGAAAGACCCTCATGTACTTCAGTTTTACACCATGTCATTGAGAGGGGAAGGTATTGGGGCAGTTGTCTTCACAGCATGGATCATAGGGAACATGGATCACCCGCACTCTTCCCAACGTTAGACCTCCATTGGGGTTGAAGCTGGAGCAGTTCACAAAGCTCCTCCTGCAGCTGGGGCACTCGCAGGGCTTCCCTTAGTGGCACCTCTGTTGGTGTTTTGTCATGTTAGAGCTGCTGGTGAAGCTCTTCCCACACTGGGGACACTCGTAGGGCCTCTCCCCAGTGTGGATGCGTTGATGCCTGATGAGTTCTGACCTGTAGCTGAAGCCCTTCCCACACTCTCCACACTAGTAGGGCCATTCCCTGGTATGGATCATCTGGTGGCTGATCAGGGTTCTGCTCTGCCTGAAGCTCTTCCCACACTCCAAGCACTTGTAGCGCTTCTCTCCATCATGAAGCTGCTCATGGACCACCAGCTCTGAGCTCTGACTAAAGCTCTGTCCACCTTCCTGGCTAAGGGAGGGTCTTTCCTCCTCAGAGCACCCTGGGCTGGGTTTGGAGCCCCTCTTCCTAAGGAATCTCTGGGGAGTTTCCTTCCCGTCGGATTGCTGTGCCCTGGAGTCACTCATAACAGCCTCTTCTACGAGGTTCTGCCATGGGGATTTGTCCTCTTTGGTCCCAATCCTCAGCTTCTTGTCTGGGGGATGAAAGACAAGGGGAGGATGGGATTTGCCTCTGTGCCAGAGGGAAGGGCAAGGAGATCACCCCAGTGCATCTCCAGCAGGACGGTGTTGGCAGCAGGGTTGTCCTGCAGCTGGGGGCTGTGCTGGACTGGGAGATGGAGCAGGAGAGAGGGGGAAAGGGGCACTGACTTCCTCCTCACCTGCCTGGGTGTCCCGGGGATCCTTCCTGTTCCTCACAGTCTCCTTTTCCATCTGGCAATGGTTTGGGAATGGGAAATCCTGTTTTGGGAGAATAACAAGGGATGAGCACATTGAGATTTGTACTGGTTTGAAGGCAAACCTGGGAAAGGGTCTAAGCCAGAATCACAATTTAAGAGGAAAATGAAGATCAAGGCAATGATACAGAAACACTGCCTTAAACTGACAGAGTCAGGATATAACCTGACACCTTGTTGGTCAGGGTGATGGCAGCCATCCCAATAAATGGTGGCTGCAGTCCTGTTGGGGTGATGAACGTGATTCTGTCCAAGCAGTGATCCTGCAGAAGGGTCTAGTCTTCCTCTGAAGGTCCAGTGGTGGTTCTGGAGCTCTGGTCCTCTGGAATTCCAGTAGTCAAGCTGCTCCTGGTGTAGCAAGGCTCAGTTTATATCCAGGTAGGAATGCTAGGATCCTCCCCCTGGGTGGAGAATCCCACAAAAGGATGATGGAATTTTATCAGTCCTGCAGTGACACTCAGTGGCCCATTAGCAGAAGATATCTCCCCTGGAGGGTGTTATCAGGGCTGAGTCATGGAAGAGATAAAGAACCCTGCTCCACCTGTTTATAGCAGTTGATGAAGGTGGGGATTGAAAACATGCGTTTGGTTACATCTTGCATTGCAACCTGGAACAGTGGGGTAATCCCTGCTCAGGGGGTGAACACCACCTCCCTTACCCAAAGTGGCTCAAGTGTAAATCCCCCACCCCAGGAAGGCCACACACACAGGGGACAATGTCACACTTGCCCTGCTCCAGGTGAGGTCTCTGTCCCTGACACTCCCTTACTCTCCCCCCTTTGTTCTTTCTTTCCATCTCTCTCTCTACCTCACATTTACTGTTCAATAAAATCCACCTTGGATTTGGTCTTTTTAACACCTTAATTGGGGCAGAGGCATCTCTCCAACAATTTTCTTAACCAGATTGTGACATTATTTTGCCATAGTGGGTTCAGGGCACTGTTGTGTGACCCCAAGTGCCTTTGACAACAGCATGGTTCCCTCCTCTGAGGATGTTGTGGTTCTCTCTGGAGGAACTCTTGGAAACTTGGACACAGCTTCCTCTGAGTCACTTATGGGAGAACTGATGAGGAAAATGGCTGTTGTAAGTGGCCAGTGAAAAACAAATTATTTGGTTGTCCTTCCTTGAAAAGTTTGTTAAAATCACTGGAGGAAAGGGAGCAAATGATACCAGCGAGACTGACAAGGTTCATTCACCCCATGGTGAGGAACACAAGGCTGCTATAAATCCCAGAAAAAGCCCAGCTCAAGTAGCTAAATTCCCAAATAACTCTGGAATTCACAGGCTTGGTGTCCTTGGGTGACGTTATGATGCTTGTCTCCCCATTCATCTGTTCTGTGCCTTTAAGACCGGCTCTGAAGTGTGGAAGTTTTGTTTGGGTTTCTCTTATCAGGGACACAGAGACAAGCAGTACATAGGGCTGTTTTTCACTTCTTGCTTCAGCTTGCTGCTTTGCTTGCTCCCTTTTTCTGCTCTTGCTTCTGCTCTGCTTTCGCCTCTGCTTATTAGCTAGTTCTAGCTAAACAGTCCACATTCCTTCCTGGACTGTTTCTGCTCTCCAATTTCTGCGACCATCTCGAGCCTGCTCCGGACTGGGACCCAGGAACACCAAAGGTTTGGCTGCAGCAGTTGCCCCAGCACCGGAGGGACTGAGAACAAAGCAACCACCCCCGAAAGATACTTTCTGATTTTGTCATCTTTCTCAGAGCAGTGTCATCTAGTATTGTTCATTTTGTGTGCTGGGGGTGGTGCTGGGCCAGTCAAATAAACAGGTTCTTTCCACCTCTCTCCAAGGAATTTTTTCCCGAACCAGTTGGGAGGAGGGACCGTGTGGGTTTTGCTTTCTGGAGGGGCCCTCCTTTGCAGATTCTTTAACAAATTTGCCCTAAACCAGGACACTTGGGTTCTTTGCCAAATGTGAGAATCATTATTCTCTTCATCCCTCTCACCTTTGTGACAGCTACACAAAGTTTCCCCTTCCTTTTACTAATCCGTATTGGGCCTAATTTCCACTTTTCTTTTATTGGAACTGGCCAGCAGCTGAGCTGGAGCTGTGCAGAAACCAATGAAACTTGGAATTGGCACAGAATTTCTTCTATTGTCAGTTTATTCCTGTTTGGGATTTGTTTGCATTTCCATCACATGTGACTCTTGGGAAAATCAAATATTCATCAAAGTATTTTAGTAGGATTAAGTTTGATTTCTGCCTAGTTTATTTTGTCCAGTGCCCTGGGGATGCTCAAGGGGTCTCTGTGCCTCTTACCCTGGGGGACGCTCAGGAGGAATTTGTTGTGATTGTCCATGTCCCTGTCACCCCAGGCCATTCCCCAGGGGGTCTCCATCATTCTCACCCCATGAAATGCCTGGGGGGTCTTCCTCCCTCTCACGCCTGTGCCGGGGGGTGCTCAGGGCAGTCTCTGTCCCTCTCAGTCCAGGGGATGCTCGGGGGGTCTCCAGCCCTCTGGCCTCAGGCAATGCCTGTGCCCAAACATCATCAGGGTCAGAGGGACAGAGACACCCCCAAACCCCCAGAAGGGCTGAACCTGGGATTTGGTTTGGGGCGGAGGATTTAGGAAGGGGCTGGAATTGGGGCTGGGCTTGGAATTGGGGCTGAGATTTGGATTAAAGCTGGGATAGGGGTTAAGGCTAGAACTGGGTTTAGTTTTAGGGCTGGGGTTGGAATTTGGTCTGGGAATAGATGAGATTGGGACTGGGGTGTGATTAAATACAGAACTGTGAGTGTGTCTAAACATGGAGTGAAACTACAACCAGGATCAGGGTCAGGTTTGGGACTGAGCTCACCCAGAGCAGGACAGGGGGTATGTTATGGTGGGATGGTTGGGGAAAATCCTGGTTTGGGGAAAAACAAGATGTGAATGCCTTGGGTAGGGGATTCCTCCCACCCATGTCCATTTCTAGAACTCACCTCATGTCCAAAAATCAAGAGTGGATAAAAAAAAGCTACGAGGAATTTCCCATTTCCAGTCTCATCCCTCTTGGGTTATGGTTGGTCCCCCATCTCAGGGCTGGTAGGGATCCCATGGGTTCTGGGGATCCCCCCTCTCCAGGGTCCTGCTTTTGGATTCTGGGAGGTTTTGGGGTCCCAAGGTCCCCCTCTCCAGCCTCCCCTCAATCCCCTTCATTCCACCACCCTGTCCTTGTTTAGGGCAAATTTTGTTGAAAACCTCCAAAAGGAGTTTCCTCTAGAATGCAGATTCAGCAGCCTCACCCTCATTCAATTTGGGAAAATATGTCCTTGGAGAAAAGTGTAAAAAACCTGTTATTTTACAGGCAGAGCATTCACCAGCACAAAAATTGAACAGTATTAAGCAATAAAACCTCCTGCTGCTCCAAAACAGATGACAAACTTCGAAAGTATCTTCTTGGGTTGTAGCTTCGTGCACTCAGGGTCTTATCAGTGTCCTATCAGTCTCTTATCAGTCCGTCCAGGGCAGGAAATGCCTTGGCCCAGGCCCTTCCCCATTGCCCACAGGTGTGAGGTGCCGGTGGTGTTCTGGTTGTTCAGTCCAGAACAGATTTAAACAGCTCCAAAGAAAAAGAAAACCCACAGTCCAGGTAACTTCTCTGCCTCAGAGATCGAAAAACTAACTAAAAGCAAAGGAGAGCTCTGTCCTGCTGTCTGTCCATCCAGCAGCTGGAATGTAGAGAAGTGAGTGCAGTTTCTGAAAACAAACTGCAGCTTCTTCCTCCTCTTCGCTCTCAGAACCAGCCTTAAAAGTGCAGAACTCATTTCTGGGCTAAATGGATCGATGGGGGTACAAGCATCATGAAGTCACCCCAGGAGACGCCTCTGTCAGGGTCAGGGGGTCCCATCTCCACCTCATCTCTTGGCTGTTGGGACTCACCCAGCTCCGGTATTGCCCCTTCCCCTCTCCCTGCCCCAGGGTGTCATGGTTTGGGCCTGGCACAGAGCCAGTGCCCTCATGAGAATACCCTCTCCCTGGTGTCTGCTGTGAGATGTGACCAGGAATAAGCAAAGCAGGCTCCAGCTTAGAAATAAAGAAAACTTTATTACCTAAGCGACAAGAAAATAGGAAAAAAACTATAAGGAAAAAAAAAATTGAAAACCTTACAAAAAGCACTTTCCTCCTCCCCCCCACCAAA